TGGGGGTGATCTGCTCCCATGGTCTGTTGGTTTGCCACCGGCCGGCAATCTCCCCGTTCACGGCGGATGGGGCGTCCAAAGGAAGGCGCCCAGGAGGGAGAAGTAGCCCCTCGGTGAGGGCAATTGCCTCCCGCGGCTGCCCAGCCTCTTGCGCCCACTCGGACTGTCCCCCCTCTCCCCCGGGGGGGGGGGGGCCCTTGGCGCGGCTGCCCTGGCAGCGCTGTGCTGACACGGGCCCGCGGCCGGAGGGAGCAACGGCGGCGCTCCTGCCGTCGAACCTGCACGAGATGAGCTACGCGGGCTCGCCTTCCCTCTCTCGGCCCGGGGTGGACTTGAGAAGGCAAAGGGGCGGGCCCAATCACCGGCTGTCCCTGCCGGCTCCGCCCCCCCGCCTTTCCTGTGAACTGCCTGTAGGCCGGATTACGTGTGCCACGCTCCTCGGCGGAGGAGGAGGCGAGGAGGACAGGCAATAGTTGCGATGGGGGGGGGGCCTGCGGGCCGGCGAGGGTCGGCCGGTAGCGGCCGGCCCCGTTCCTCCCCGCGCGTGCCGGGCATGGGGTGGCCGCCGGTGGCCCCGGGCGTCTCGGGACACTGGCGCAGGAAGACGAGGCCGGGAGGCCGGCCCCGGGCCCGGCCGGGGGCCATGCCTTGGGCCCGGACGCGCCGCCAGTTGGCTAGTTTGCGCGGCCCTCGGTGGCCGGCCACCGGCAAAGAGAGAGCCGGAGAAAAGCTCCCCCCTCCTCGCCCCCCCCCCCCGCGGCTCTTCAACTGGTGGGCCTCGGGTGCTCAGGGCGGGGTGGTGCGGCCACCCGGCCCCCTCGCGCGCGGTGAGCGAGATCGCCGGGCGTGGCGATCGCCTTTCCCTGAGGGCGGGCAACCGCCGGAGATCGATCTTCGCCCGGGTCCCCCGAGGGTGGTTTTGTCCCCCTCCCCAGCGCCCGGGGGCATTCTCGTGCTCCGGTCGCCCAGAGCGAGCCACCCGCGAGCCGACGGGGATGAAACACCACGAAAGGCGACAGTGTACCCCCGCGCCACCCTGCTCTGGGTGGTGTGGCCCGAGGCAGACCCGCTGAATCAGCAGCCGCCCCCCCCCCCCCCGGCGTCAAGAGAGGCGGAATGGACGGCAGGCCGCGAAGGCTGGG